TTTCTCTTTCCTTCTTCATCTCCAGTGATCGCTCTTTTTTTTTCTCCTTTTCCTGACACATTAAAAATGTGTAAGCGATTAGAAGGGTTTTCCGGCCTCTGTTTGTTCTGAGGCTGTTCTTTGGTGAGGAATGCTGGGCGGGGTTTCCGGGAATGCTTACCCTGGGATCTTTCTCCCTCCTGAACTCCCTCCACCTCCTCCCGCGATCCCCACCCCTCCACCCCCTCACGGCAGCAAATATTAATTGCAATCAAACAGCAAAGGAGGAGGGGACTTGATTGCCACCAAGTGAGCCTTTGACGAGGTATCCGCTGTGCCTGGTGTGTGTTGCAGTTGTAGGAAGGAGACAGGACTACTAAAGGTGTTACTGGGAAGGGAGAGTTCCCGCCCCTGCCCAAGCTGATCCTTAGCAGAACAAAAGGCAGAGCCTCAGCCCCTTGCAGGGCCCTAGGGCTGGACGGGTCAGGGCGTGTGGGGAGGGGTGGTGAAGCAGACTGAGCTCAGGGCTCCGGCAATTTTCAAAGTAAGGACCTGGGGGAGGAGGGGCGGAGGCCATGAGAAAGCACACCCACCCACCCACCCACCCACCCACCTTCCAACCAGCGTTCAACAAAGGATGCCTCCAGATCCTATGGGCCCAGTTCAGACTTCCTGTGAGGAAAGAGCCTGGATCTCAACCCTGCGGTCTCAGGCCAATCCGTTGGCTCTGTGTTCACCCAAGAAGGAAAGAGCTCAAGAGATGACTTAGGTGCTGACAAAGGAGAGGGAACAAGAAGGCCCTGTCCAGCCCGCGTCACCCCTTCCAGAAGCTGTTGAAGAAAGCCAGGTCTGCTCCTGCACAGCACGTGGCCGCCCAAGGCGTTTGCAGGACCCCCGAGGGGCGAGGGCAGGCTGGGTCTCCTGCCCAGGCCGATGACACCCTTGGAGAGAGTAGCAAGAAGGAAGAGGGGTCAGCTCCACCAAACGCCCCAGAGGCAGACTGTGGGAGGGTCAGGGGAGGGGATGGAGCCCAGGCTGCGCCCGAGAAGCACTGGAAAAAATTAAATCCGATCGGACAGTGTTTGTAAACGCCTCCACCTTCAAGCGCCAGTCACCTTTAAGCGATCTGACAAACTCTAGCCCACTGAAAAACGCACAGGGTTCAACTCATATTAATCCCCCCCCCCAAATGTTTTGATTCAAAGTAGTTTGTATTTGGTGTAGCCACGGGCGATCCGAAAGTGTCCTGCGCGCCGGAGGCCAGGTCGCTCTCGGCCCCGCGTGGCCCAGGGGCTACGGCAGTATTTAAGCTTCTGAAATTAGCCCCGGGCTGCTGGGCTGGCCGATCACAAAGGGAAACAAGGGCCCTTCCCCATTCTTCTTCTTTTTAATCCAGCCCCCCAACTCTTCTTCTTTGCTTTTCTTTCTTTCTTTTTCTTTTTTTTTAGAGTGCCATTCCCAATTTCACAAAAGAAGACAGGGCCAAAATGTCACTTTCCACCAGCTCTGTGAAATGACTGGGTCTCTACTCCAGCTCCATCTGAAGGCCACAGCCTCCTACCCACTTGAACCCCTACCCTGACACCACCACCCGAGCCCCTGCCTTATTAAGCTCATCATCGTGGTCCTTGTCAATATTGCTCTTAGTATTAAATATGGAGAGCGGGGAAATGAAAGGGACTGGCGTCTCTCAGAGGGGAGGGGGCCGCCGGGGCGGCCCAGAAGGTTGGGGGGGGGGGGGGAGAATGGGTTTTCTTTCTTTTTCTTTTTAATGATTAAAAACATAGACGACTCCTGTAAATAGAAGCCTCATTTCTTCAAGAGATGCCTTTTGAAACCCCGTATCTGAATACTCAAGGAAGGCAAAGCTCCTCTCTGTACGAACAACATTAATATGATCTCTGCAGAATTTGCTACTCAGAAATATTAACATATCAAAGCCGACGCCCGAGGCTAAAGAAGCTATCGATAGGCAAGCACAGGGTAGAGTAAAGATTATTGGTTCTGATGGTTGGAGTGGCGGGGGCTGGGGCAAAACCACGCACACCATTAACTGAGAGGAGCGAGCGAGCAAGCGAGCCAGCACGGGAGCAGCTCCACCTCACCACGGAGGCAACAAATATTTTATCTAGGTGGTAATTACTTCGCCGGTGCCTTCTCTCACTGAGCATCTTTGGACTATGGGGCCTCCTTTCCAGACAAAACAAACAAACAAACCCTACGTAGTTGACATAAAGTGACTCTGAAAACTGGCAGGTGGATTTTAAGGCATCCAAGCGGCCAAATTTAAAGAATATCTGTTCAAGTCTCACCCTTCCACCCACCGCAAACCAAGACAACACGCCCCACACCCAGCTCCAGTCAGAACCACATGCCTCTGTGCTTTTCCTCAAGAAAAAAATAGATTGGAGGGAGGGTCTTGAGGGAAGCAAAAACTATTTTTCTTGCCATCCTAAATTCTGGATTTGATTAGCAATGTACAAGTATCCAAGAATTGTTTGGGCAAAAATAGCAAAATTATTCATAGAAAAGCAATGCTTTGCAAGAAATCCCGTTCTGTGTGGAGAAAACCCTGGTCAGACCCCTGCTCCACTTCGGATGACAGAGGCTTCTGTGAGCAAGCCTAGCATAGACCGGCGCGGGACTTAGGCTCCTGAATTTTTATGAGCAGAGGTGATCCAAGCTATTATTAGTCCCATGCACAATCCGGACACAAGAGAGAAGTCGCTTTCGAAGTGTGTCGACAAAAATGGAGAAGCCAGGGCACAATGTGTTCCCCATTAGAGCAGCATTTCCTAGGCAGCCAGCGCCCATGAGCCTCAACACAAGATAACTGCAGACACAAGGAGACAGATCCTTCACTCCGGAACTCGACTTGGCCTTTCTCTCCAAGACAGCCGGAAATGCCATCCTTAGCAGCAGAGCCTGGAATGACTTCTTCCCAGCTAACCGAAGAATAGAAACACAAACCTGCTGCACCTTCAGAACTGCCGCGCTCCCTCGTATAACCAATGCTTGGCTTGAAATAGCAAGACAGGACGTGAAGACAAGACTTTTCATAGACAGGAGGAACAGGGGCCAAGTTTAACAAGAACAATAAAGGGCGTCATCTAAGGGACCCTGATTTCTTTGTCATTGCTTTGCCCCTTGGAAGGATGGAAAGAGATGTGAGGGTGTTCGCATGTCTCTCCCTGTACATTTAACTAATTTCACAACTGAGTCCTCGGGTTCCCACCCTAGGCTTCGAATTCCCACCCCCTGGCATCTACCATAGACAGGGCTCAAGCATTGGAGAGGACGAGGCTCTAGCAAATACCAAATACAAAACCAAACTGCAGGAGCGCAGGCGAGCGCGGGAGCCGGCTTCGGACGGAATGAGAGGAGCTGTCCTTCAGCACCACCCGGGCGCCCCGGGCGCGCGAGCCAAGGCTCCCACCTCTGCTTTTACCCGCCCCGGAGTACTTCCTTACCTGCCCAACAGTGCGCGTATTTAATTTTAACATTCAAACATCTTGGGCCTATTTCCTAACACTTTACATGTGGCTGCAAACTCGCTCCTGGCCTAGCTGGCAAATGTAGAATTGTTCATATTAAAAAAAAATCTGCAAGGAGCAATATCAGTGAAGATATGTATATATATATATTAATATAATATATATATATATGAAGTCATTTTTAAACCCCTGAAAGGTACAACTATAGAGTTGAACAACTCTTTAAAATTTAAAGTAAATTCCAGGAACAACACAACAGCCTATTTCCAAGAGGAAAGCACCCTTTGTTCTATTTCTTGTTGAATTGAAAAGCTCCTATTGGGTATCTGGTTGTGACATTTTCAGTTTAAACAGAAAAGAATCCACTGCTATCTTCCAGCTTGTTTCTCTCTCTCTGAGAGAGAGAGAGAGAGAGAGAGAGAGAGAGAGGCAAACCATCCAAGTAGCTTTGACACAAATGGAGAGGAGAGAAGGGGTATTTACTTGGTACCATCAGAAAGGACGCAGCCTTCGTGGTTTGGTTCCTAAAGACAGCAGAGGGGCAGGGGCAGGAATTAGTCTTGGTGAACAGGCCATGGCTTATTAATTCGTATGAAGTTGGGGTAACAGCTGGTCCCTCTCTCCTTGTCTGCTCCTCGGGTTACCCAGCCTGCTAGGAAAATAAACTTCAGAGGCTCTGAGTACAGTTAAGCAGGGGGAGCTAGCGAAATCTGTATTGCCTGGAGGCCCTGTGAAAGTCATAGTTCAAAACCTTTTGTCATAAAGGAACATCTCAGATGCAACCCCCTTCAGAGAACTGAACTGAGAACAGCTCCGTCCTCTCCCGCCTCCCCTCCCCCCTGCAACCTTCCAGTTCTGTGGGTAGCTATGGGTTCAGATGTTCCCCAACAGATGGGAAGAAGAAAGCTTTCTCCAGTACACTTAACACTACCTCCCCCTCCCTCCCCGAAGGAAAGACATGTACAGGACACTTGGAAAAATAAGGCCGCAATGATATTCCTGTTTCATTAGCCTCCCCTCCAGCCTCAGCAGATCTAGCCTTTCACACAGAATCTCCCAAAGCCTTGAGCGAACACCAGCACCTCAAACACTCAGGCGTTGGCTGGCACATTAGGGGCCTAGAAGAGACCCCAAATTCTGCTCCAAGATGCGGTATTGGTGATTGGAGGAAGGGTGTGAAGGTTTTTCCATTCCATCTTTTTTTCAGTTTTGTTTTGTTTAATTTCCTCCCTTCTAACTTTGCTTGTGCCACGGCCCTGGAGGAGGGGGCGGGGGGGGGGGGGGGGAGGAAGAACTCCTAGCACCAGATTTCCAGTGTTTGCCCAGAGTCCTGGTCTTGCCGGAAGAAGGGAAGCTTTTGTTCATGCACCTGGGCCTGCGGTAGAGGCCTGGACATTTTGACTGAAGCAATGGTTTTCTTAATAAACAGATGTAGAGACTCAATGTTTACCAGGACCACCAGCAGATCGCCAAAACAGAACAACAGATAAGACAAGGATGTTTGTAGTCAAAAATGTTCCCGCTTACCTCTCCTTATCACTCCACCTTGGCCATTGAGAAGGAGCCCGCACTGAGCTTCTACAGAGCCCTTAACAAAAGAAAAAGAAACAAAACCACTCCATCAGGCTAAGTATGACCAGGCTGGGAAAGCATTTCCAAGTAGCCCTTCCCCAGCCCTGTCTCAGGAGACCCTTAAAAGCAACCATCGAGGTAAGGGTAAGCTGGCCAGCAAATGCAATTTTAGGAAAACAGATTTGCAAGAAAACCACCACCTCAAAGTCGCATAAATCTTAAGGCATGCATTTGACATCACCATGCAATATTACACTTCAAAGTGCCTGGAAGCCTTTTATCTTGGCACAAGAGAACGGGAGGCCCTTTGAGTCTTTATCCAGGCCCATACACTAGGTGCAGATGGCGTACAGTCAAGCACTTTCTGGGTGGAGAAAATGACACCTCAAGTGTCAAGTCTGGGGTTGTGGGTGTCTTGGGGCCTGAGGAGCCATTTCAGACAGAGGACTTAGATGGAGCCCATTATAAGGCTTCTATAGCATGCCAAATGTAGAACCATCCTACAGAGCCATCCAGACTGGGCCTTAGAGAGGGCATTCCTTCGGCTTCACCCACTGTAGACCTCAGGGCTCTAGTGGATGGAGTGATCATTGGAGCTGGAGGAATGGAAGAACTTGGCTGATTTTTGGTTAAGAAAAATTAAAAATTTCTCTCTGTCTTTGTTTTCCTCTTTCTCCCTCTCTTTCCTAAATCAAAATGTGTTAAAGGCTCATTTTCCTTTACAAACAAACGAGGTATTGGACATGAAAGAGGCCTTGAAGGGTGTTAACCTAGCCAACAGCCCGTGAAGAGTTAAGTAAATGCGGAGAGAGTCGGTGCATAATAAAAACCCACTTTACAAAACAACCTTTACAGCCCCAGCTCCCCGATACCTCCCACATCACCATATTGCGGCTGGCCTGTAAGACCCTCCTTTCAACCTACTCACCAGCTCTTTCTTATTTTAAATGTTCTGCCTTAAAGTGATTATCAAATCAATATGGAAAAAAAAAACTTGGGGACTGAGCATAAATTAAAGCGGTGATGGGAAAAGGTGTGACAGTTTTCTTTGTCGGCCATAGCAAATCTTTTTAGGGGACTCAAAGATGGAACTGAAGCCTCCACAGAGTTTGCATCTGTTAGGCAGACTTGGACTGCCCTGCAAACCATTGGACTTTCACTTAAAATTCTGTGCAGGGAAAAGTATATTTACATTTGTTGCATTTGAAATGAGGCATATGCTGATGAATGTTTTAAAAAGGAAGAAATAAAAGAAAAGAGACTGGGGGTTTTCTCCCTGGGTTCTCGTTTCAAATGTAGCCAGGACACTTTCCCTTTTCCATTCTGCCACTGAAAGTCTGGGAGAGTGGGAGAAAGCTAGACCAGCTTCCTTCATAACATTCACAGATACCAGATAGGAGCACAGATGTATCGATATGATGTCCCTATCGACAGACATAGATACATTATACATCACACATCCTATTGTGTTTCATCTAGTATCTCGGAGTGCTCCCTGTCTGAGAGGGAGTGATTTTCTTTTTGCCTTAGTAGGATTAATAAAAGGAAAAGAGAGAATAAGTAAATACGAAAGAGAAAGGCTGAAGAAAATACTTTAAACCACCAGAAATGTAAACAGGCAAGGACTCTGGAGCTCTTGAAGGGTATGGACACTTTCCTTCCCATTGTTTTGCTGCGCGAGTTAAGATGTTTATTTTTCAGGAAGAAACAAATCTTGCTCTCTTTGCTTAACAAACTTTCCCCCCTCATAAGTAAAACATGTTGTTTGGTCGGATGACATTGCATAAATGACCAGTTGAATGGCACTAAGTCGAAAATTGGATAAACTACGGTGTGCATTTGCACAGGATTCTCTTTGTCTGGTGGTTGCAAATGTCCTAATCCCCTCTTTTGAAAAAATGCCCGGCTTTGTGCCTCGCACAGAAAAAAAATTTGTACAGATACAAAAAAAAAATCAGCAGCAGACGTGGCTATTAAAAGGAGTAAATAGGTTTTAGTTGAACTAAGCAGTGAATGGCAGATTCTCCCTACTCCCCCAGACAGAAAGGATTCTTGTGAAAAATGAAAAAAAAAAAAAGTCCTAAGCGAATACAATTATTTTGTGACTCTACGGTGTAGAAAGTCAAACTTTACAGAGGGCAGCATCTCTCCCAGTGCCCCAGTCTCAGAACTGTGAGAAGTGGAAGAGCTTTCGCTGTCGTTTAAAAACCATTCCTTGCCCCGAGGTAAGTAAGGGGGGGAGATTTTCTGTGCGCAACAAGGGGTCTCTCCCGTCTCCAAGATGAGCTCCGGGGCCAGCCCCCTCCTCGCGAACGGGGGAGAAACTGGCCAGCTTTGCGTGGAGCCAGGAAGGAGGGCTCCTCCGCCAGACCCGCACTTTCGGCCAAAAGAAACCACCCGTTTTACTCTTCTAGACTGTTACTCGAGATAGTTGTGAGCCTATGTGTTTAACACGCACCTAAAACAATGTGAGTGTAGAATTACAGCTGCTTGGTAGCAAAGAAGATGCAAAAATGCGTTCAGGAAATAAATTCCTGAATTCCTTGTCAGCCTCTAAAGTACCTTCCTTCCTTCCCTCTCCTTCTTTCCTTCCTTCCTTCCTTCCTTCCTTCCTTCCTTCCTTCCTTCTTGTTTTCTTTGCTTTGTCCTCCCTCCCTTCCCCTTCTGTTCTCTTACTTCCTTTACTTCCTGGTTTCCGTCTGTATAGAGTTGGATCTTATGCACAATCACACACAGATGGACTGTGCGCTGAGGAGCACACACGCGGACACACACCAGGCCACAGAGGACTGGACTCAGTTCCTGGCAGGCCATGTGCAGTGTTCCGATTCTTACACTGGGGTTGAGTTTTGGGGGCTCTTGTTTGCTGTTCCCCACTTTTCACACAGCAGTCTTGGGGGTTGGGTGAAACTTTTGTTCAGCCTCAGGGCTCCAACTGTTTTCTGAGAACAGCTTCACACTAAGATTCCCCAGACGGACAGACCCACGGATGCCCAATCAGTCTGGCACACACAGGCCCCGGGACCAGTCTGGAGACTGAGGGTGAGATGGGCCGTGGACTTACTGGGTCTCACTCAGTGCTCACACCATCACCCCACACTGGGGGAGGGGGGGGGAGGGTAACACTGGATTCACAGAGGCCTTCTGTGGTGGGTGGACAGCAGGTGGGGGCCCTGGCGAGGGGCCCTTCTAGGTGAAATGCCCAGATTCAAAGAGAGGGAGAGAGAATAGAATAGGCAATTTACTCCTCCCCTGGTGGTTTTGATCACTTCTCTCAAGCGAGGTGTGTGTGTGGTGTGTGTGTGTGTGTGTGTGTGTGTGTGTGAGAGAGAGAGAGAGAGAGAGAGAGAGAGAGAGAGAGAGAGAGAGAGAGAGGGAGAGAGGGAGAGGGAGAGGGAGAGCGCGGTCCAGGGGGGGAGAGAGGCCGGCGGGGAGGGGAGGGAGGAGGGAGGGCGGGCGCAGGGAAGGTCCTGGCTGCCTATTTACCTGCAGGTCGTCGGCCCCCGCGGCGGCCAGGCCCAGGCTAGGCCCGGGCACGAGTCTCTGGTGGTCGGGGTGCATTCCATACTGGGAGCCGTGGCTCATGAGGGACAGGTCGTGGCGGCGGTACGCGTCCAGGCAGCCCAGCTCGCGCCGCTGCTGCTCGTCCAGGCAGGAGGACTTGAGGGCGCGGGCATTGTGCAGGTTGATGAAGTCGGCGGGCTCCCCGTGGTGGAGCTGCTGGTAGTACTGCTGGGAGGGGTGCAGCGGGTTGAGGGAGTAGGCGTCGGGGGTGACGGCCGGGTGGCTGTGCTGGAACTCGTAGTGGAAGGACTGGTGGTGCAGCGGGGTGTACTGGTGGTTGGTGGAGAAGTAGGGGGCCGCGAACTCGGTGCCGGTGGTGGAGTAGGTGAGCGGAGAGGAGGAGGAGTAGGCGACGGTGGAGTTGGCGACGGATTCCAGACAGCCGAGCTGCATCAGACGGTAGCCGTTTGATCCGTCGTGACGTATCTGCAGGGAAGAGGGGGAAAAGGCAGAGCAGAAAAACTTGAGGTTTGTCATAGTGTGGATTTTGGGGCGCCCCGCTCCCGGAGCGGGGCGCGCGTGTTTGGGGATTGTGTCGGGGTTCTTTTTGGGGGGGTCTTTTGGTCCTTGGGTATGTCCCCCCCTCCCCGCCCCGCGCGCGCCCCGCCGCCGGGGCTGAGCGCGGTCCCAGCCAGCCTCCGCCAGGCCCCGCCAGGCGCGCAGCGGGGCGCGGCCCGGTCCTCCCCGCAGGAGCGAGCCGAGCGCGGGGGAGAAAAAAAAAGTCCCTCACCCTATATAGGTGCAGGCGACATCACACACACGCGCGCACACACACGCACACGCGCGCGCACACGCGCGCACACGCACACACACACACACACAGCTCCCTGCCCCAGTCGTGCGGGGAGCCGGGCATCCGGTGCCACCGCGAAGCAGAGCAACCCAGGAGTCGTCCATGCGGTCCAGCCCCGCGCGCCCGGCCGGGCTCCCGACCACGGAAACCCCCTCCCCACGCGTGACCACGCCGAGGCGGGCGGAGAGGGCCCCAGGCGCCCAGAGTGCGTCCACGCGCGCGCGTGTGCATGGTCTTTACGAAACCAGAACCCCGGCCTCCGCCAGATCGTTGGCTTTGCCGTCTGGGGGGGAGGAAGAGGCAGATCGACCTGTCCTTCCCTGCCTTCCCTTATACACGTGTAAAAAGCCCATTCCAAAAGGGGGTGCGTTTCCCCACCCCCCCTTGTCCACCTACCGCCCCCCCAGCAGCAGCAGCCCCCTTTCTCTGCCTTTCCTGTCTTTATCTCTTCCTCTCCCCCTCCCCAACCCCATTACCACGGTTCTGTTTTCTTCCTCATGATGGCAAAAGAAGTGTCCTAACGTGGCTGGCAGAGAGTCGCCCTTGCTGGGCGGCAGATGCCAGGACAACTTCCTCCCCTTCCCTGCCTTAACTTCTCCCTGAAAGCCAGATTATAATTAAACGTAACGGTCCAATATAGATTAGAGACGCTGCCACCGCCCGCCGCTGCCGCCGCCACCACCGCCACACACACAGACACACACACACAGACAGACACACACAGACACACACACAGACACTCACACACACGCGCGCGCACTCCAAAAAAAAAAAAGTAATAATACCTCAGCATCGTGGACTAGTCCCGGAAAGGTAGCTGACATGTTGGATTCCTCCAAAAGCTAACGATGCAATTTCCCCCTCCAAAAAAAGAATCGGGAGGGAAACAAAAAAAAATCCCAAACTTCTTGTATTTTCCAAAAAAAAAAAAAAAAGAAAAATGTTTTAAGGCAGAAAAAAAAATGTGCTATAGATAGAGAGCTAAATTGTAATGGTTTTGCCCAGATCAGATAACTCCTTATCTCATCCCCACTTAAAAACCTGTAGGAACAAAATTTTCCCTCTGCACAAAAGCAGCTCCCTGGAACAGATTTTGTACTTGCTGAGTATTTCTTTCGCTGATGTCGTAGGTCCCTTGGTAATATAGAAGTTTTGAAAATTAAGCATCAGCACTGAGAACTCGGAGGACAATAGCTAGAAGAGATTTATCCCAGGAGACAAGGAATAAATATTGTATCTTCGCCTAATAAGGAACTGGAGGTTCTTTCAACATTTTTATCCATTTTTCCCCCAACCTTTATCATGCTTTTCTGTACCGACTGAGGTGGGAACTCATTTCTTCCAAGAGGATTTGTACACAGTTCACTGTGAAGACAGCGATAGAGCTAGCAACACCAGGGCTATATTAGAGATACAACTATATATTAATTAAAGCTTCCCCCCCCTTCTTTTTTACACGAGTAAGTGTTCTCTCCTATTGGTTCCATTCTCTAGATACCTAAAGCTGCTTTCCCCCACACACAACAAGCAACCATAGGCATCAGTTTTCCCCAGATTGAGGAATCTGCCTTTGCCCAACTGGAAGCTGGACTCATCTCTCCATATTTACATTGAAATTTAGGTTCATTTCCCTTTTTTGAAAGGCAACAACCAGGCAGTGGTTTTACACTTTTCCAGCAGCTTTTTTTTTTTTTTTTTTAATAACCATGACGGACAGTTCAAGTTTTCATCACACAAAAGAACTGATAGAAATGAATGAATTTAGAGTGGGAGATGCAAGTAAATAAAGAGGTGGCACAAGATCTCACGTTTGGGTAACTGTCTTTTACCCCCAACCCGACCCAACCCAGCCCTTCTCTTTTTTTTTCTTCTCTTTTGTGCTTTTGTAAACAGTGACTGTTTGGGGAAGGGAGTGTACCCCATTTAACAGTGGACCCAGGTATGTGAACAGCAGAACTTAAAATAACCTTTAACTATGACCTTGCAAGTTAGATTTTACTAAGAGAGGTAATGAAGGCGACAGCTCACACCTCCCTCTCCAATTCTTGGGTTAAACATTTTTTTTCTTCAACTTTTGAACAATTTTGGAGCTGTCCTTCATCCCCAATTGGGCTCCCTCTACCAAGATATCTAGCGTCTGGAGCGGGTGTGTGTGTGTGTGTGTGTGTGTGTGTGTGTGTGTGTCTTCAAGCTCAAAATTCTCAGTCTTTGCAAGAGCTGCTCTCCAAGCCCCCCCCCCTCTCTCCTAAGAAAGAGCTGACTGGCCCACAGTCCTCTCATTGATAGAAGGGGGTAATTGAGTCTTAATTGGCATTTCATTTGGATAGCTTTTAAGTGTTTAAGCAGAGAAGGTGTCTTAATAATAAGCCACAGACAGACAGACATGTAGCTGTGGCTTTTTTTTTTGTAGGTAGTGGTCTACAGGAGTTATTAGAATCTGCTCATGCAGGCTAACTGAAGCTGTCACTCAGCACTCTTTGCTTTATACAAATGGACAAAGGCACGCGCCAAGACCTGAAATGCCGGGCTCTGGAGATCCGCGGCGCATTGCTACCACACAGAGGCCAGCAGCCAACGCTTGCTCCCTAATTCAAGGTGCTCTGTCCCCTACTCCTTTTCAAATTCGACAGACTGGTTTCTAGTGAAGGCAGGAGACAGACCAGTAAGGGTGGCCAGAAAGAGCGTGTGGCCGGATCTTTCCCTAGGAGGGTAAGGGCCTGATGTTGGCGCTGAGAGGCGCAATCTCAAAGTGCTCACCTTGGAGTCTTTGTTTGCCGGGGCTGAGCTAGGCCTCCCTAAGATTATCCATACAGGAAATAAAGAATCGAATCATCTATGGGAGTCGAGATGTGCCTCCAGGATCTAAGCCCAGACATTACCACCCCTAAGAAAGCTCAGCCTACCCCGGAAGAAGATGTACCGCCTGAAGCTTGCATTGCAAATGGCCAGACATACTTTTTTTTTTTTTTTTTAAATACTGGTGATGCTGGTTTTCCAAGCACTCTGTGAACTCCTCTAGAAAAGGATGGATGGGACTTTCTCAAACAGGCTTCTACCACCCCCCCCCCATACTGTCAGATCTTCACTGCAGGCAACTGGGACCCTCTCTTCCCAGCTGAGGTCGGAGGAGCTAGCAAGCAGCAGATGTAAAGCCTCCCCTGGGAGCAACTCTGAGGCTCAGGAGCCCCAGTATGTTTAGCCCAGTGTCTGTGCCCGGCCCAGCCACATGCCGCACCTGCACTGTGGTTCTTCCACCCTCCGTGCTAATGAGTCTCAGCTTGGAGTTGAGAGCCTCCCGTGCAATGAATGGCGTCCAGTTGTCCCCTGTTGGAATAGTTCAGGACTTGACTGGATTGTGGGCAGCCCTTATTCCCACTCCAATTTTCTCGAGTGACTTTTAGGGTACCCAGGGCTTCATTCATGGTGCTTATCGATATCCCTTTGGATTTGGTACAAGCCACAGATCACAGTGAATGGGAAAAGTCTCCGAGGGCAAGGAAGCAAGAAGCAGGAAGTGTTTCCCCCTCGTGGTGCGGGTGTCTCCGGTGCTGTGTGCTAGGCTCTTGGAAAGGCCTCCGTCTCACCTTGGTAGCACGCTCCCCACACAGCATGTCCACTGCAGGGAAGTGGTCACGTGTCTGCGGCTCCCTCCCACCGGTCCTCAATTTGGCAAAACAACAGAGCCAAAGTAAAACGCTTTCTCCTTGAAAGGGAACTTAGAGACCTCATCCATGCCAGGAGCACATGTGCTGGCTAGTAGCTTTGCCACCTTCTTCCCGTGGCTCAGCATGCCTGTTGTGTATAGAAGTCCATGGGAGCAGAGGTGTTGTTTGGTGTCTGGTGTGTGATGTGCACGGGCCTTTCTCCCTTTTCCCCTCCATCCTCCTCCCCCCTCCAGCCAATTAATTGTCACCAGCAGTTACTAAAGCACCAGCATTACTAAGCACCCAAAGTCTGGACTTCTCAGTTTTATCCCTTTTCTGGAGAGCAATGTACCACACATTCTCTATAGCTTGTGGCCCAACTGAATTCACTGCCCCCCCCCAACCATATTGGAGACTCAGTGACTGGCTAGCTCTCCCTAGTTTTCCAGGGGACACTGGTGGAGAACATTCTAGCTCCAGCCAGAGGTCAGTGCCTAGCCACTCAAAATAGCACAGAGAAAGCCCATCCACCTGGTCCTCTGGGAGCTGGAGAGGTCTCCATGGACGCCCAGAACCTTTTTTTTTTTTTTTTCCTTATGCTTTATACCCCTGGAGATTATCTTGGTGAAGTCACTCAAGGCCAGTTACCTTAAGTGAGATTTCACTGAGAGATGTCCATGCAGGTCACTGCCGTCTTGGTTTGGGCTCATGCTGGAAAAGAGTTTTAGGAAGACATGGTTCTTCTCCTTTGCCTCTCTGTTGCTACCACAGGGGTCAGTCAGTTGATCCAATCTCTAGCTTCTCTACCGACTAGATCTGCCATTGATGTTTCAGGCAAAAAATGACCAGCCAACTGTAATGAACAGATTCCTCCTTCCCTCCCCTTCTTCCCTTCCCTCTCTCCTTCCCTCCCTCTCTTCCTTCCTTCCCTCCCTCCCTCCTTCCTTCTTTCCTTCCTTCTCACTTTCCTTTCCTCTTTCCTTCCTCTCATTTTTATTTTGGGGTGCTAGGGATCAAAGTCAAGAGTTTTCCATACACTA